CAACTCAATATTCAAGTATTATGAAGGACTATATTCACATTATCACATGCTTGATACATAACAATAACATACAAGCTCTTTTGTTGTCAAATTATTCATCATATCAAACACATTTAAATGGTGCAGTATGTTCAAGTTGTTCCCATTGCTGAAAATACGTACGTTACGAGTCTTAAAGGATTACCTGGATAGCAAAAGAATAAACAGTAGTTCAGCAACTAAAGCAACATAAAAACAGCAGCAAAACAGCAACAAAACCAGCAGCAAATCCGTGTTAAAACAACCCGAAAACTTAGAGAGGAAACCCAGAAACGAACTCTAAAGAGGACTTATACTTTTCTAAAAGTTTGCACTCTAAGATTCACTCCCAAAGCTCACCATTTCAGCTCACTTTTCATGTGTTCAACTGTTGATTTTTTTTTTATGTTTTTGTGTGTTCAAAGCAACTCTTCCCTCTCCCTGGAAGTGTGATTGAGTCCCCCTTATATATCAAAACAACCAGCTATTTCAAAAAATTAAAAATCAATCTTTTTGACAGATTTTCTACAAAATCTGCTCTTAAATTCAAAAGGCCAGACTTTCTGGTTCAAATCTTGTCAAGTATTTCAAACAAAATCTTTTCTCCACTATTTAAAGACAGACTTTTATTCAAACACTGTCCAAAAGTGTACATTTTCTTACCAAACAATTTGACTTTTGAGTATTGTACTCAAAGAGTCTTGAAGCAGTAAATAAACAATCAAACAAGTACCATATACTCTTAAGTATTCTGCACTACCTCAAAAGAGGGTGTTCGGGGAGGTCGCCGGAATTTGGCCGGATTTTGGTCGCCGGATTTTCAGGGTGAAATTGGCATCAATAGCTAGGTCTTGAGGAACTCTATCCATTGATGTAGGTATTGTGGGGTGGTAGTGGTTGGAGCTTCAAGGATTTGGGCAAAAAAGTGACGGGAAAGTTTCCAAGATCTAAGATTCAAGGAGTTTGAGGGATCTGTGAAGGATTTGGTTTGGAGATATGGAAAGAGGAAGTTGTGGAGATTACATGGTGTGAATTTAGAGGTGTTTGGAGGTGATACGCCGGCGGCGGCGATTTCCGGCCGGCAGCGGTGGGCGGATATGGGGCGGCGTAGAGAGAGTGAAGAGAGAGAGAAGAGAGAAGAAGGAGAGGGAAAGAAGAGAGAGGAAATAAGGGGGAAATGGGGCAAATTTTTGGGGATTTTGGGCTTTAAATACCTAGGATAAAGATCAAACCAGGACCGTTGGATTAAATCAAGATGGGGGGATGAGATTGAATCTTGTTACTTAACCAAAATGACGTAGTTTCAAGACCAAACTACGTCGTTTTAAGCTCTTCTTGGCAGCCCCATTTTGGACCGGATTTGGGCTCTTTGGGCTCAAATTTTGGGCCAATTTTGGCACAATTTTAATTAAATTACACTAGCCCAATCCCTACCCCATTTATCAAACAATTACTCAACTCTTAAAACCTATACATACACAAATAAGAACAAATACACACACACACATACACACACACATACACACACACACACACACACACACATATATATATATATATATACACAGCAAAAATTAGGCATTTACAGCTGCCCCTCTTTGCTCGAGAACGTGAAGAGTTTTCGTGCAAAGAAAAGTGAATGTCATAGCTAATTTTTGCTCACATATCACTCCAATGGAAGCAATTTTTGAAAAAAGGTGACCGAACCTTGCTTCCGAGGTTGCCTACATATCCTTGGCTATAAAGGAATCAGGTCAGTATAGTTCTGGAAAATTTGGTAGCTGGGACTACCGGACACTAGAGTTAAGACTGTTGCTGCTGTTGTTGTCGCTGTTGCTGTTGCGGTTACTCGTTTCTTACATCAAAAGAAAAAGAGAAGGGCATTATATATGTCTGCAAACTAAGAGTACAAAATTCCTATACAAAATTCCTATCCATGTGTCTTCTGGAGTCAAATCTTGATTCTTGACTTGCTCGCATGTATTGACCGTAGATTGGATCTTGATGCTCTTTGAAGAAAAGATTATGACTCAATCTCGATGGCTTGCTTTCTGGATCAGTATTTGAGAAGATGAATCTCGAGAAGCTGGGCTGCTAATACATTATCAAAGCTAAACTCCGACTATCTTGTGATCGAAGGATTTCTTTCTTCTGATGAGAAAATTGAAACTGCAAGTTTTAATCGTCACTTGCGCTATATGGCAGAGCCTGCAAAGCCATCAAAGACAAACAAAAACGAACAAAATTTTTCTGCCCCAGTCTGGCACTAGGAAAATTTTGTGAGTTATTAGACAAATCTGTAAATTATCTAATTTATTGAAAAGGAAAACAGAAATAGTAGTATAAACTATCTAAAAGAGATAAAATTCGGTAACGAATGATAGTTTAACCAGGGATCGGTACCCTGTACTATTGAAAGGAAATGTAATCAGGGGTCGGTACCCTCTCTTACTGGAAGGAAATAGAATCGGGTGTTAGCACCATGTATTATTGATAAAGTGTTGAATCCCTCTAGGCGAAACGGTTCTACCTGAGTTGAACTATGTAAAATACCCTAAGCGAAGAGTACTTCTACCCGGAAACTATGAGCTGGATCCCCCTAGGTGAAAAGGTTCTACTTGGGTTAAGCTAATGTAAAACAACCTGAGTGAAGAGTACTTCTACTCGAAACTATGAGATGGATCCCCCTAGGCGAAAAGGTTCTACCTGGGTTGAGCTACGTAAAACAACCTGAGCGAAGAGTACTTCTACCCGGAACTATGAGCTGGATCCCCCTAGGCGAAAAGGTTCTACCTGGGTTAAGCTAATGTAAAACAACCTGAGCGAAGAGTACTTCTACCCGAAACTATAAGCTGGATCCCCCTAGGCGAAAAGGTTCTACCTGGATTGAGCTACATAAAATCAACCTGAGCGAAGAGTACTTCTACTCAGAACTATGAGCTGGATCCCCCTAGGCGAAAAAGGTTCTACCTGGGTTAAGCTAATATGAAACAACCTGAGCGAAGAGTACTTCTACCTGGAACTACGAGCTGGATCCCCCTAGGTAAAAAGGTTCTACCTGGGTTAAGCTAATGTAAAACAACCTGAGCGAAGAGTACTTCTACCAGGATCTATGAGCTGGATACCCCTAGGCGAAAAAGGTTCTACCTGGGTTAAGCTAATGTAAAACAACCTGAGCGAAGAGTACTTCTACCCGGAACTAT